CCTATCAAAAGAAGAATAGAAACATTAAATACCTGTAGTAAACTTTGATTACAAGAGCATATTCAGAATCTTTAAACACCTAACTCAGTTAAAATATCTTGTCCCACTGAGGGGAAAGAAAAAGTCAAGCCACAAGATTTTCAAAGTCTACATAAGAAATGAAAACAACCATAACAATTATAAACAGATAGGATAGAGATAAGATGAATATTAAATAGGAATGAGCAGTAATAAAGATAAATATAAGAAATAGCATTGCTCTATTATAAGCTCAAGGGAATTTAAAGTCCTCATTGGAGACAGTAAATATCAGTATCTGGAATATCTTTACCCAAAATATGTTCTACAGACCATGAGTTTCTTTAGATATGGCAGGATAAATCTGTATCTGTATACATACTAAAAATAAGTCAGAAGAAACTACATCCTGTATTTTTTCTGAGAAATTCAAAATTCACAGAAAAAGAAACGAATTAAATTTTATTTATCCCTGTGTTTTCTAAACTTACTTAACTATCATCCCCCCCATCTCCTAACCCTGAGTTATAAATATTGTTTCCCAGAACAAACTTTGGAAAACATCACTGTAGAATAAGAGTAACTATCCAAAGCAAAAAATGATATTGAAAATTGATAAATGAAAAACAAGACATTGTAAGAAAATAGCATATGTGAATATACCACATATTATTATTTCTACATATACCATATGTAGAAAATAGCATGTGTGAATATACCATATATTATTATTTGTTTTACAACAGAAACCAAAAGCTATATTAAGCAGAAGGTAATTTTATAGGACATTGTAATGCCCCAGAATCCTGCAGAACAGGTTGGAACAGTCTCAAGTTGCCACAGAGGATCTTTATGGTTTGATAATCACTTTGGGACATTCTAGAATTAATAAACATGCACTATTTTTATACCCTTTTCGAGAAACAAAGTCCCACAAGAAAGAGGTCAACTGGCAGTTTTTAGTTGCATGTGACCCCTGTGGGGACCTTGGGGAATAAAAGGGAGGATATGATAGCAGAAATCTTCCACAAGGTTTGATTCAGTATTCTGTGAAGACCAAGAATAAGGAAGTATGAACGATTCCTAAACAGGAAATTGATGCCCCTTTGGAAGGATAGGGAGAAATGATGTTTGGGAGCCAAAAACAAAAACAAAAGCTTATTATGAAAAAGTTGTCAGAGGAAATAGACAAGCTTATGGAAATTGATAAATTAATGAAAAAACTTGCCTGAAGTTTTTTGAAAACTAATCTATTCTGTAAATTAAGAAAGAACATTTAGAACTAACAAGATATTTAATCCTCAAAGAAAACATTTTGAGTAGTATGTTTTAAGTACATGAACTAGAAAAACAAAAGGCCAACTCCTGGAAACTATAAAGATTGAAGAACTAGCTTTCAATGAGAAAAGGTAATGAGGACATCTGATCCAAGAGTCGGGGAGCACATATAATGGATTCTTACATTAGATCAGTTTACTCTGCCAAGATATCCTTGATTTGGAAGGTAGCAAAAGAATTTTTCTCCAAATTCACCAAAAGAAATATACTGCTCCAGACACCAGTACTAAAGATTGCTGAAGAGAAGTAGCTGATACCTTTGAGTTTAAGACTATTAAGGAGAAAACATGAAAGGAAGAGGGTGGGATTGTGGAATGGGAAGGAGAGAAATAAGATTGAGAGTAAGTTTAGTGCTGGAAAGATCTATATTTTTTTCTCATTATGGGATTCAGACATTTGGGATGTTTAGTGGCCTGAGACACTTGTGTTGTAGAGTTTATGTAGTGATAAATAATCATAAAAATGTTTAGCAATCCTTTAGAAAATTAGGATGCATTAATGGGGATACCCTTCAAACTCAGTGTTTGCCACAGTCTATGAAAGAGATGAAGTCACCTCCCAGACCATCCGTTTCCTGCCTTATTCTGCAAAAAACTTATAGTGACTTACAGAAAGTGCATAATACACACAGAGCTGTGGAAAAACTGAGAATAAAGTCAGAGAGTATTAAAGTCACAGGTAAGATTAACAAACAGCTGGTACAGTAACTAGGTTTAGGTTTCCTAGCAACCAGAGCAAAGAAGGGCAGAGAACTAATAGTAATTTGGTTTTGCTAGTTTTATGAACACTGAAAATTTGATAACATAAAATAACCTACATGTAATATTACTTGTATGCATATTAAATTTCCATAAAACATAGAACTATCTGATATAAACAAGAAAATTTCAACAATACAGCAGGATTCACCAGAAATACATTAGCACTCCCCTCTTCAAATCCTGCCTAAATTGTAAAAATTGGGCTCCAATTTATCTTACGCTTTTAAATATAGTTTAATTATGGTCTCTAATAAAGTTGAGTTGAATC